TTGAGTTCCCGGGTGAGGGGAATGAAGCCGGCACCGGCGGTGCTGCCAAAATCTGAGCCTTGAAAATCAGGGGGGAGGAGCGGGCATCACAGGGATTTGGGGATTGTAGCGCCCAGCCTGTCGCCTAACCAGTGACCACGCAAGTTGCGGCTTGTGTTTTTTAAAATACATTTCAGGAGAGGTAGCTCCTGAGGGGACAAGTAGAGCGTGGACAGAGCAGTCCTGCCTTTACCACGGAAGCGTGTGAGAGGAGGCTTGGGACTGGACTTCAGAGCTGCTATAGCTAAAGTGTTTTAATAACTGTAGTTAGAATTCCTGGGTTTCATCGCCAAACTCCTAATCCTCCTGTCTGTGGGCACAGCGTTTCCTAGCTCTTGAACTTTCTGTCTGTGGGGATGCTCCCTAAATCGTGGTCTGAGTGTTTCTTCTCTGCATGGGGTCTTTGCTCCCTGGAACTGTTCAAAGATTGATGCTTTCCTCTATGGCCCTAGGCTTTCTCTCTGGCAGTTTCTTTTGGGTGGAGCACCAACTTTCCCTTATTTTAGTTCAACTTCTTAAATACAGAGTATTTTGATGGGGGATAACAGATACAAGAGACAAATTCTACCTGCAAGCTGTGGGTACAAATCAGATGAAAGATGATTCTTTGTACGCGTGGAGTTTAGCTGGAGAACTCTTTGTTACAAAGTTTGTGGATGCATAAAGGTTCAAGGGGAGACTGGTTGACTTTATGGAAGTTTTCCCATTAGGAATGAGCCGGATGGACGTTCTTTGTGAGAAAGTAAATCCAGACACCAGACAGGCGGCTGGAGGTTGTGAGAGCACACGGGAGAAGTCTGTATACTTGGGGGGGTGGTGGTTTCTGGTTATCAGCATTTGGCTGTGTGGGAGGTGACATGGGCATTTAGTTGGGCCTGGTGTGGGTATTTCTACTTACACTGTGTGAGTTGTTCAGTGTGTGTTTGTGGGTAGAGGGTTGTTTTGGGTTTTTTTTGCTTTGTTTTTTAGGGGGATGCTAGATGATAGCTGTAGAATGGGTGGATTTCTTTACTAGGGAGCACACCAGAAGTAAGGTTTTGCAATGCTCGAATCAAACAGCGGAGCGTTTTACAAGTCCTATTCCTTTCCGTGCTTATGCTTGGAGGTTTAATTCCATACGGAGAGAGCTGGTTTGGGGAATGGGTTTCTGGAGTTCCTGGGCTCTGGTCCCACATTTGGAACTTTTGATCCCTCTGTTACTTCGAAGCTGATGTTTCATTGCTTGGGCTTCCCAAGTTTTGTTTTTTGAAGGAAAAGGCCAGAGAGTTGAGAATAGCGTTAATCTGTATGAATGGAGCCACTATTCCTCATTTTATGAAGATTTCTTTAAGGGTGAGAGAACCTCCGTTTTTTTCTCTCTAACCCGCAAGGATTAAACGTTGAAACAGTAGTCTGCTTCAGAAAGGTGTACTTTTAATTAAAGCAATTGTGGGGGGAAGACTTTGAAAGCCAGTTCGTGATAATCGGTCTGCTTTCTTTGTAAGGTTTTTTGGGCTTACTGTACCTTCTTAATTCAAAATAGTTGCCTTGAGTGCTGTGTTCGTAGCTCACAATGAGTAGGATAACATTGTAGTTCTAATTATACAAAGTAAATTTAAGAATAGAATTTTAAAACCTTTTGTTGGTGGTTCTTGGTTGTAATTTTAATGTCTAATTCAAAAAAAATGCTTATGAGCAGATCTGAAAAGTGGATAGGGCACTTGAGAAGCAGCAAGGAACAAGTTCCGGTGTTGGGATTTTCTTAGAAAGTAGAGGAAACTATTTTTGGTATGTTTTGGTTTTGTTTTGGTTTCCCCCTTACAACACCTAGGAAGACACAAGTGTAGATAAACGTATCCACATGAGGCACAATTTTGCATCATAGTACGCTGGTCAAAGTTTTGGAGACTTGGCTTCGGTGCACTTGGTGTTGATACAAGACCCTGAAGCCCCCTCTCTAATGAGGCGAGCTGACGCGGCTTTTCACGATGTGTTTGTGTTCAGAGGGTTTCCTTTCCACTCCCAAAGGCCAGAAGCTTAGCTGTCACCTTATAAAAAGAAACACCCTGCGGGTTCCTTGCTTGTTGAAAACTAATGCCTATCGTATTACAGAAAAGTGAATTCTCTGTGCAATACTGCTTTTTCCTCGGGTTATATAGGGCAGCAAGGTGTAATGAAGTATGGGAATGCATGAGTGTTCTATAATTAGTTTGACAATGATGTTTTCTGTTTCAGGGCAAATGACCCAGCTTTGTGAATTGATCAATAAAAGCGGAGAACTGCTAGCAAAAAATCTTTCCCATCTGGATACAGTGCTTGGTGCCCTGGATGTGCAGGAACACTCATTAGGCGTTCTTGCTGTCTTGTAAGTGTGGCTTTCTTCTAATTAAATATCTTGATATTAGAACTTCAGGCAACATGCTGAATTGTCAACAGAATGGTTTTTTAGACATAAATGTTTTCAATCTGCATTTCTTAGAATGGTGCTCAATTTCCTTCAGTGATGCACATTTTATTAATAAAAATACCAAGGTAAATTTGTGTTTTCAAAAGAAAAAAAACCTCTGGAGCTTGTAAATGCTGTTACTGTCAAATGGTAACATTGGAGGCTTGTTTTCCACTGAAGCATGGGTTCTTACCATACTTCTTGGGTATTTGTCTCTTGGCTGCTCTCTGTAGTTTAAGATAATACTTGACTTGCCTTGGTGGTGCTGAGGTAAGGATACTTGGCCCTGAAGTTCAAGCTATTGTTTCTAGCTGTACCTAAGGGCAAGC